CGCAGGCGCCGCCGGCGCCGTTGCGGGTGCTGGGCGCGTGGCTGTAGGTGTGCTTGTACTCCTCTGCCAGGTCCTTCCCCAGCTTCCAGCGCTGCCACCTCTTCAGCAGCTCTGCCTGCACCTGCAGGCAGCTGCCATCAGTGTGGCCCCAAACCTGCTGGCTGCCCGAGCCCCACCGCCTGCCCGCTCCCGCGCCGTCCCACTCACCTCCTTGTTGACAAAGCAGTAGAGAATGGCCACCAGCATCCCCTGGGCAGAGGAAGGAGAGGAATGAGAAGTGTGTAGCTGGACCCCAACCCTGGTCTGGTCCCGTACGGGGCTGAGCTCACCTGGAAGGAGCTCAGGAAGAGGTCGAAAAAGAGCTTGACATAGCGCAGGGTGCCTTGAGCATGCTCGTCCGTGATGAAGGCGAAGACCACCTCGTGGATGCCCAGCAGTGGAATCAGCGTCAGTGTGGACTTGGCCAACCTGTGTGGAGAGGGGCCCGGCAGCGCCAGGGCAGTGGGGTGGGCACACACACGCACACACACACGGACACCAACGTGTGCACCATGGGACGGGGGTTACACCCAACACCCACCTAAACTTGTAGTCAGTGTAGCGCATCTGGTGTGCACGGAGCTTGGAGACGAGGATCTGGATGATGCGGATGAAGATGAAGAAGTTGATCTGCAATGAAGCAGAGTGATCCATGAGGGGCAGGGCAGAAGCAGGCAGGGCAGGGATGGGCAGGGCAGCTCTATCCCCTGCCCAGGGCAGCCTCTTCCACAGCAGTCTCAGGGTCCTCACAGACGCAGAGTGGGGGGCTGAGGTGGGCAGAGCCACAGCCCTGGACTCACCAAGATGGCCAGGAACACGGGAAAGCGAAGGATCCACCAGAAGCCCATGTTGTTATTGGTGCTCCAGCACCTGCAGAGGTGGGGGACAGGGACTGCTGGGCAGCCCCTTTGCTGGGCAGCTGCTAGAGCCCAGCGTGGCATCGACAGCCCCAACCGAGGGAGTGCCGCAGCCCAGCACCCTGTTCCTTGCACAGGGTGATGGCGTGGAGCCTCTCCGGGGCCATCACACCGTCCCCACCATCCCTCAACATGTCCCACACACACCCACCCGTGTCCCACGCTCCCACAGGCGCTGACCCACTGCGGGGGCTGGTACTCACTGGATGTTTTCATAGAGGAACTTCACGACGACCCAGGGGATGAGGAAAAGCACAGGAGCCCCTGGAGGGGAGGTGGGCAGGGGGCAGGTGAGGTACAGGGGGGTAAAGGGGGTGGGAGGCTGAGGACGGGCAGCCGGTG